AAACAATTTTTATCAAAATTGCAACGCAGTTGTTATCAGCACATAACTTTTGTATAGACAACAAATTATATTTAATATGAGGAACATGAAAAATAGATTTTAAGTGAAGAAGACGAGGCGAGGAAGGTAATGTAACTTGACCAGTATGCATAACAGGGAGAGTTGTACCATTAGCTACTATGATAGAACGAGCATTGGGAGAAAAGGATTTATTAGATAAAATACCTGGATGAGGAGTCATATGCGCCAAGCTAAGGCACCTGAGTCAGGATACCACACAATGTCAGTAGTCTCAGGAGCTTGAGCAGCAAGAGCAGGTGCAGCCGGCTGAACAAAACGAGACGGACACGAGGAAGCAGAGTGACCTAGAGCATAACAAATCTGACAGAATACAGGAGGAGGGACAAAATTCCCTTCAACTTAGGAAGAGCCTGCATAACCACAGTTAGTAAAAGAAGCAGATAAGGCATAAGTATAAGAATTTAACTGAACAGACATACCTGCTGAACCTGGTGCCCCAAGAATGCCTGCATGCGGTGCACCCCCTGGAACATAGCCTGGAAGGAGGGTAACCATAACCCATATGTGGTGGATATCCATATCCGAGCTGAGGTGCGCCATGATCGCGGCCACACTGTCCTCGGCCGCCTCTGCCCCGCTGCCCGCTGCCGCCCCGATCGCGATATCCTCTCCCGCGGTGCTGCTGGGCGCCTAGTGGAGGTGGCTGCCCCGCACCCTGAGCTTGACCCGCAAATGCTTGAGCCTGATAAGGTTCCTCCAGAGAACGCATGTACTGAATGGCTTGCTCTTTTTCAATCAAGCATGTGCACAATTTTTCGATGGTGAAGCTCTCCGGGAACAGACCAACCGATGTAATAAGAGACTCGTAGTCGCGGCCCAAACCATATAAAATAGTTTTAAACAATTCACGAGGAGAAATGGGATCATTAATTGAAGCTAAGTTGTCAGCAATTATTTTAATGTCTCTAAGATAATGCTCCATAGACTGATTAGGACTCTTCCTAGAGTGAGTCAACTTAGCTTTCAATTCCATGGACCGAGCAAGACTAGCAGACATAAAGTGCGACTCTAACCGACTCCAAATAGCAGAAGCATTCTTCAGTTCATGCACTTCAATTAAGACAATGTAGCAAATAGCCAAGAACGCACCGTTTGATCAAGTTTTAGCCAATTACAATAATCGGGATTGATTATCTCATGATGAAAAGCATCAAAAATATAGGGAGGAGGGGCAGGAATTGAACCATCTAAAACTCCCAAAAAGCCATTGGAGACCAAGAAGGACTCAGATTGAGTACGCCAAGGCAAATAATCTTCCACCGTAACCAGTTTGATTGTCACAATATTGGTAATATTAAGCGCAGACAGACCAATGTTCTTAATTAAATCAGATAAAACTGAACTTGTACTGGCAGCAGACATGGAAACAATTGGACCAAGAGAAAACGTAGGTGCAATATCTGGGGCTGTGGCAAACGACGGTCCGGCAAAATTGGAAGTAGAAGCCATGGACGGAGAGGAGCTTTGACCGCTGGAGAAGAGGGGCTGGACGGACTGCTACACTGGTGGTCGGACATAAGGAGAATTCGGTGTCCAGGTGAAGATTGGTGGTTGCCAGGTGCTGAAATCTGTCGGTGAAGGCGGCGGCATCCATGAGCGAGAGATGGAAGGACCCGTCGAGAACAAGGGATTGCTGGTCGTGGTTGCAGAGGAAGAAGACGCAGCCTGAGAGAGAACAGGCACGGTTGTCCGAAGCGGTGAAGTACAGTCTGTCCTGTCCACGGAAAACGTTGCAGCAGTGGTTGATATCGGCGTGGAGGTCAGGACTGGAGCAGAAGTCGGTTGTTGTTGTGCGGCAGAAGACATCGGCATGGAAGAAGACATAGCCGCAGAAAAAAATTAGGTTTGAGATGTTATGGCTCTTGATAACATATGGAAATAATTACCAGACTTAACCATAATGTTAGTCCTGGCAGCTATATATATATATATATATTATATATATAGGAAATAAGAGTAATAATTACAATAGGAGTCTCACACTAAGGATAATTAAATAAATGACTAATCTACTCTATTACTTCCCTCCTCCATCTATTCTCAAGCTATGGTTTTCTCGAGATTTTGAACATCCTTCATCGACGCTTCATATACATCGTACGTACTTTGGACATGGTTCTTCCAGTCAAATCATACTACATACTCCCTCCGTCCCAAAAAGGTTGGCCAATTTGACTTTTCTTGGTCAACAGTTATCAACTTTGATCAATGATATCTTTTAATACAAAATTATTTGAAATATGAAAATTATACGAGCTTATTCTTTATCAAAAGATCTTTCATAAAAGTATAAAATTTATAAATTACACATAAATATGATACCTAAAATCATTGTCTAAACTTTAACACCATTGACCAAGAAAAGTCAAATTGGCCAATCATTTTGGGACGGAGCTCGAGGTAGTATTACATATATTATATATGCCCTTTCTACGTATCTTTCCCCAAATATGCAATGTTGAACTTATTTAAGAACGGAGGTAGTATTTGTTGGGATTCATAGTCCACAACACGGATCCATCAAGAAGCCCATCACCATCGTACGGAACGAGTCTGTCTGCTTCATGGAGTTCTTTCGGGTATTTGATCGCTTCCTAATGTGAGTTTTCTCGCACTTAAAAAGATTGTAATGTAGTAGTGTAAGTACGAGAATGTTCTCCACAAGGACGAACAAAAGGGAATCAAGAATTAATTAAATTCAGCGATTAAAAATAAATAAAATAAATGCGTCGTGCGAGATATGATTGGTTGCTGGAAAATTAAACTAATGTGAATGAGCAATAAATATAAAAGATTGATTTCTCTCTAATTGACGACGAAGGGAACAGAGATTGATTCCAGGGTAATCAGATTTCTGGCAGATCAGGATTAATTACATGAAATTAATTTAATTGAGCCTAGCTAATCATTGCTAAGTTCTTACCGCTCTCGCGGCCTAGAGTACAACAATTTAGGGGACCAGACTGATCTCTCATGCGACAGGGTCCTAACATATTGCCAAGACGAGCGAGCTTACGACCCCTTAATCGCTACTAATCTCTTAGCGAACGATTAAGTGTGTGTGAAGGTGTCCTAAAATAAATTAGATCTCTCTGAACTTATTCTACAAGCAATTCTAATTCTAGCGCGCGTTCTAGGTTACAAGAGATATCAATTAAATTATTCAAACACGAATTAAACGGCATTCATGCATTAAGCCATCAAGAAACTAGCCATACATCATGATTAACCCGTTCATTAATCCCAAATCCCTAATTAAAACTACTCACAGTTCATAATTGAAGAATCAACAGAATTGGGTTGAATAGAAATAATTGTCATTAATTAAAAAGATGAACTTACAAACAATCCCAGGGTTCTTGGATAAAACAATGGAAAAACGCAAGTAAATTCGTCTCTAGGTCTCTCCGTAATGTTCGTAACACTTAAATAGGAGAAGGGAGACCTTATTTATAGAAAACTGATGAGTTTGGGTTGAACTGGGACTAAGAAGGGGCTGAAATCCGCGTTTCGTATGTACGCACAATCGTGCGTCCCCTGTCACGCACGATCGTGCGTGGCTGGCAGTAGCCTCCTTGCTTTCTCGCCACGGACGCCGTGCGTAGGGAAACACACGATCGTGCGTCAAACTTCCGAATTTGACAAAACTTCCTTCATGAAAGTTGTAGATAATTAATTCCTCTATCCACCACAACTTTCCGAATTGAATTTGAATCATCCAATCAAGGGATATGAATAAAATGTTGGAAGGTGGCATTCTGAAATCGCAACAGGGATCATATGACTTCATCGTCTGTTTTCACCTTCTTCCTCTCAGATTCTCACAACGGTGTCTTTCATATGATTTGTATCCCTTGAAGTTAGTTTCATGTGGAACTTGAATGGTGTTCTTTGGATGTTTCTACAAAGAGATATGCTTGAACGATTGACAGAAGGTCATCCTGATCGCCGTTTTCAAGCGCTATTCGTCTTCTTTTGACCCCGTAGCCAATCCTAGAGCTCTTTTGTCTTCAAATCTTTATCGTAAACCTCCCGGTGACCTCCAAAGCTCTCAATCCCGATGGCTCCTCAAGCGCCAGTGCCAAACTCTAAATTCCTGATTTTGACTCCAAATGAAACAAAACTCGAACCAACGCCTGATAAGCATAACTTGAGCTAAAATTGAGACTTGCAACACCTCAAAGCTAGAAAAACCATCAAAAGCCGATCCCAATCACGCATCAAATGCGTGCCAAAATACGGACTTATCACTTCCCCGGTAGCTTTGTTAACCAGCGCAAAGCTCGGAAATCTTGAAAAGTCTGTAATCAGGAAGCTTCTTTATCTTCCTTGAATCAGTGCTGGTGTGAGTCGGATGGGTTCTTTGGGGCGAGGAAAACAGAGTTGTTTCTAATTGTGAGGGAGAAGTCGGGGTTGTTTTTGCAAAACACCCGGAAAGTTGGCTTTGGCGGATGGTTCTTGCTGTCACAACATGGACGTGTGTCATGACAGCAGTGGTGGTGGTGGTGGGTGTTGTGGTGGTGGTAATTTTGGTAGTTATAGTCCATGCAGAGCTGGTCACTGTGCTCGGATTTTGATGTGTGTGACATTATTATTAAGTGAGAAACAATTACTATATGTGAAGTTGTGAATCCATGAAGAGCTAGATTGAGGTATTTATAGTGTAGTATATGGAAGTTAAGGTAAAGATTAAAAGAGGGAGATGATTTGGGTAAGAGAAGTGGAAAAGATTAGATGTAGGAGAGAAATGAGCTTTATTTTCACTATACACGATTTAATTTTCTTAATCATATTAAATAAGTTTAGAGGCATGATATTATGATAATGATCATACATTACAACATGTTGCCTTAAGATTATTTAATTTTTTAAAATCTTTAAGGATAATATTAGTCTGATGAATAAACATATACTACGTATTTTGTGCATAATAAATAAATTCCTTAATAAAGGTGCAGAAACCTAACAAGTAAATCTCCTCCCTGTAATTATCAGGGGCATGTAACTTTTTTTTCATTATCCTATTGTCTTGCCGCTCCATTAATTAAATAACTCATTTCTCTCTATGGAATTACGAATTTAAGATGGCTGAGCCAAACACTAATTTACACTGTATCTATCTAACTACCCTAGAGAACTATGTCATGAAGTTGTTTCCATATTTGCTGGAATCTCTCTCCCCTCCCGAATCTTGAGCAAATCAGCATACCCTTCAGCTGATGCAAGTGCGAATTCTGTCAGCGAGCTAACAGAGAATGACATCCCAGCACAAAGCACTCTAATGGCAACCTCAGCCATCTTTTCTGCTGTCATTACTCCCTCACCATCATCATTACCATCATCATCATCATCCACTCTTCCAATTTCCGCCACCTCCATACGGTGAGGGTCACCGCCGAACTGCTTTGACCGGCCTGTATTCCGCCGTGGATCCTCTCTCATCTGATGTGCATATAAGGAACCAACCCCTGCTGCAAAGAAGTCAAGCCCTTCAAGAACTGGTCCCTCCCTGACAGAATCCAACAGCTTTGACCACTGGATGCATATGTTGAATATTGGCGGCGCTCCCTCGGGGCTCTCACCAAGGAGAGTGGGAGAGCACATTGACTTTGTCTTTCCGGATCCTGTGTAGAGACAACGTAAGAGCCATGCCTTTAACGCTTGCAGGTAGGAGCGTTGAGAAGTGATCCATGACTGAAAACAGGCTCTCCAATTCCTGAGCTCCATCTCAAGGTTAGCCGCTGAGTGGGCTAGCTGGTGAGGTTCGGATTGTGACATTATTGTGTATTTCTTGGTTTGGGAATGTGCAGATGATGGTGTGCTGGCGAGTAAGAGCTTAGCATCATCCAGTGTCCTTTTCTGTATATGGTGGCACTCTGCCATCACCTTCCACATTTTACCTAACCTGCTCATCATCATCCATAAAGAATTTCTGTTAGTGGTGATTTAAGTAAGATTAAGCAATGTAGTTATTTAAGACCAATGCCTAAAGCATCTAGGCTGTGACTGATCGAGGTTAAACGGGGCCTGCACAGTTTAAGAGGAGCCTAGAGCTGGGGTTTAATCGATGTTAGGTAGGGTTTTTTATAATATTGAGGTTGGATAATTAGATAAATTGAGCAAAACCAAACAAGGAAAGCATATTAGACATGTCATAGAGACGCATATGAAACTAATTAAGGATACATCTCTTTTTTGGTCCCATGATTATTAGGGTCACTCTCACTTTTGGTGTACGACTACGGGCTCCTAGCCACTTTTAGTTTATTCAGTCAATTATCTAGTGAAAATCAAGTGGGGATTGTACTGGAATCGGCCGGTTAAGTGGCCAGAAGGACGAAAACTTTAAAGAATCTCTGGTCGGGCACCTAAGCGGTTCAAATGAAAGCCATGAACCAAAAGTACAAAATATGTAACATAGCTACATATGTGCAGATAATCCTTGGTTTTATTGACTTCACGGATAGAAAGTTGTTTAGATGCTCTATTTGGAGTATTACAATATCAATAATTTGGGAATCAACTCTTGAAAACAGACCTATATGGGATATCAATATATGTCACAGACTCACAATCCTTTATCCAATTAAGATTAGGGAGCCAAACAACTTACATACCCTTCCACCAGTTGTAAGAGCTGGGGTTGCAGCTCATCATCCCTTAAAGCTTCAATCCTTTTCGAGATAGACTCAACTGAGTGTATTGAGATCTTAATCTGAGTATGCAAACCCCTAATTGTTGCTCTTGTTCTTTCAAGAGAAGAAGGATCTGCGCCCCTCGCATCTTGATTTCTGAGATGTGCACATTTCTTCTCATATGCTAGCCGAACACGCTCCCCAGCCTGATTATCATGCAGAACATTTCTTCTCAATATATTTAGAAGGTAAAAGGAAGAAGAAGAATCAATTAAAAGTAGCATATAAAAAAAGGGCAGCCCAATGCATGAGGCATCCATGCAAAGCGAGGATCCGGGAAGGATCCCACCACAAGGGGTGTACGAAGGGCAAGTCTTCGCCCGTGTAATTAAAGTAGCATATAGGAGTATTTATCTAAAAAGCTTCTTAGATGATGAAAAATTGAAAACATGCAAAAGCGGTTTCACATCCAATAAATCAAATAACTGGAACCAAAGAAACATTAAGTAACGACAATTTGGAAAATGTCACTATTAGATGAACAAATATGGTTTCTCGAAGTGAAACTTAAAGAATTCAAATATACCAATCATGAGTTAAGACATTGATTTCGTCTTAAAAAGCCATTCACTAAGTGCTTGTTTTGTACCATTTTCTACTTTTGATCGTATGTCCATTTTATGAAAACTTAAATCAAGATCATGAGAACTAAGAAAATATATTTTCAGGATCTCTTTGGCATTTTGTATTTTAGTCCATTAAAGAACTTAAATGAAGTAATATAAAGTATCTTTCATAACCATAAACTAAAAAAATCTGGCAGCAACATAAAACAAGCTGTAAAAGTTTTGCAAGTAAAAAATGGACTCTTCAACTTTCTGTGAAGCTCATGATAGAATGTTCTCTGATAATAACACTATACATGCAGTGATTTATGCAGATTAATTAATTGAACTCATCAGATGCATACCCTAACTTCTTGGTAGAGTTTCTTTTCCCATATATATAATCTGTCCAAGGTCGACTGGTGACTGCTTGAGAATATGGAGTCATCAGACAGCTCACTGTAGCTTTGATGATATTCATCTTTTATAATGGAGGGATTGAGCAAGAATCTAGATGAAGACGATCTTGAAGATGCTGACCGAAGTAGAGCCACTGGGTTCAACATTTTCTTGGCTGCAAAGAATGAGATTCAAATTAATTGGCAAATGCAAGAGAGTAATTGGTAGGAGTCATGAACTGAAGATGATCTGAAATATGGAATGATAGAAATAAGGCTTATTACACATAAAACCCCGTGTTTGTGTGAAGGTTGTGACAAAACTAATTCTTATGTACCATACATCATATCATAATCCAAAACACAGTTAGGATATGTCTCATTCAGTACATGATATGTTAATTTCACACGAATCTATCCACCTATAGTTTAAATTCCTATGTCGTGCCATTTATCATTCATTTCTCATTTTACATTTAATCCTTTTTTGTTTTTATTTTTTCAAATTATTGGTAATTGAGTATTCAAATTTGTCAGTTTCAACCTGGGTGTATTTTCTACCTCGTCCAAACTCAAATCAGTGTGTACGCATAACAACCAGACGGAAATCTTAGATGGACAGACCCATGTTGAATTAAAAGATTTAGTGAACGGAAATAGAGTGATCCTAATATCTTCTTGGGCTCTGAATGATGGACTAGTTTTCTCAACGGCTTCACATTTGGAGTTTCTTTTAACGAAGTAAGCCTACTAATGATAGTAATAATAAATTCTTGTTTGTTACTTCAAAAGTAAATTTATCTTAGTTCTTGATAATTGATGGTTTCTCCTAACAGAAATGACGAGCTGCATCAAGTTTATTGATTTAAGACAAAACAAACAAAATAAAGTATATGCACTTCACCTTAGCCTATGTAATGTTACCAATATAAGCAAATAGCATTCTTCCAGGCATTTAATAAATCATGAGGCATTTAACTCAATCTATATAATATTCTACATTTGGAGTGCACAAAGGTGTAAATGGGTGCCATTAATAAGTCTCATGTTCTGGACATAAACTGATCAATTAATGAATTTGGGACATAATAATGAAATAGAATATAAAACTAAAATAGAAACAGATCATTAAAGATATCAAGCATTTTGTCAGATGTCAATACTTGTAGAAATGTATTTATGGATTTGTGTCTGTAAATGTGCTGCATAAATTCATCACTTGCTCTGGAAATAAGATACTCAATTAATAAATTCAATCATATTGGTTAAATACTATAAAAAGAAACAAAGAAAACCAATTCTTTTATGTGAGCAAGGTTGCGTAGACTTACATTTGAGGTCATTTGATGTTGTTGAATAGTGAGCCCTGATAGACTCTAATAAAGATGATACTTGTTTAGCTGAAGTGCAAGCAATTGTAAACTGAGCTTCAAGGTCCTTAATAACTTCTGCCATGCTTGTTGGCCTTCTATTTACATAAACTGTAAATCCTGCCATATCCTCATTTGGTTCACAATCAGCAACTGCATTCTCTTTAGTACTCACTTGGCCCTTGTTTTGTGCCCTAGACACTGTTGCCCGATGACTAGCATTAGATTTTGATCCTTGTACATGACGACTGGGATTTGAGTTTGATCCTTGAACATGATGATTCAAGTTTGATTCTTGAGAATCACGATTGGCATTTAAGTTTAATTCTTGAAAGTGATTGGCGGCATTTGAGTTGGATCCTTGAAAATGAAGATTGATGTCATTTTTGTTTGATCCTTGAAAATGGCTATTGGCACTTGCATTTGATCCTTGAAAATGATGATTGACATTGGAGTTTAATTCTTGATAGTGAGGATTTATGATATTTGAGTTTGATCCTGGATAATGATGATTGGTGGCATTTGAGCTTAATTCTTGATAATGATGATTGGTGGCATTTGAGTTTAACCCTTGATAATGATGACTGGCATTTAAGTTTGATCCTTGGTAATGAAGATTGGTGGCATTTGAGTTTAATCCTTGATAATGATGGTTGGCATTTGAGTTTGATCCCTGAAAATGAGGATTGGTGGCATTTGAGTTCAATCCCCGATAATGATGGCTGGCATTCGAATTTGATCCTTGAAAATTACAATTCATGGCATTTGAGTTCATTCCCTGATATTGATGACTAGCATTCACGTTTGACCCCCGAAAATGAGGATTCATGGCATTTGAGTTTAATCCCTGATAATGATGATTGGCATTACTACTCAATCCTTGAGTATTATGATTAGGATTTGAGTTAGACCCTTGAACACAGTGCTCTGTATCAATGTGTTCATCTATGTCGTCGTCATCATCACTATCATCTTCAACCAAGACTTCTTCCCTATCGAACTTCTGCTGAAACCTATTATCTCTCTCTTCTCCTCTTCTACTTTCCCTGGACTTGGCTTCTTCATGCTCAGACTCCTCTTCAAGATCAGGAATCCCCTCCTTTTCCCTGACATGCCTTAACCCCTCATCATCATCAACATCGCCCAAAATGCCATGATCAAGAGCTCCACTCGTTGTGGGATAGCCACCATAGTGATCCAATGAAGCAAACGGATTCCAGAAGTAATCCCACTGTGTATTTTCAGGCCTACTGTTTGTCGTGGGCGGGGATTGCATACTGAAAAATCCATCATCCATCCCATACTGATGATACATAGTAGGAGAATATGTATGAACCCTAAACATTTCTGGCGTTCGCGGTGGCCTCTCCTCCACAGAAACAGAAGGGATCCCACTGGGTCTAAAGTAGTTCACTCTCATTGTGGGTTCAATAGAGATGAATCCAGATGGTTTCACTTTTTTTACAGATGGTGGGACCGGGCGGGAGGTTTTGAATGCGTCCAATAAGAACTCACGAGGCTCATCCACCTCGACGTAGTCTCGGAGAGCATCAGAAACTCGTTTCATAGATTGGATATAAGCAATGTGACCGGAAGCAAACTGAAATCTATACTCAACTGCTTGTTGGATGAACTTCTTCCTGTCTTTGCATAGCCGGACCGACTCTTCATCATCCACCTTGGATGAAGAACATCCCATTTCTTAATCCACCCTCCTTGGGAGATTCATACTCAAACAGTTCATAACAAGATGATGATGATGATAGTTAGGTAGTGGTGTTCCCTATAGAGAATCAAAACAGGTGTACCCAACACGTAAAGAAAGATAACAAGCAAGAAAAGGATGTAATCGTGTAAATGCACAGATTTCTGAACAGATAAAGCAGGATTTAAGGTTCTTTTCTTGTCCTTCAAGTTTTCAGGAAAAACCCATGTAGAAACCATATACTGTACTTCGTATCATAAACGATTTGCTCAATTACTCAGATAAGTTATCTTGATGCAGGAAAGTGAAACACGGACAAGCATAGCTTAAATAAGATTCCCTACTGCTCATACTCCATCTAAAATGCCAAAACCTCGTTTTCCAATCTCTGATTTTATTTTTCTAAAAAATGGGTTTTTCGAATTAGATGAAGTGCGGCAGAATTTCAGTAAGAACAAAATGGCAAAACCCCACCATTTTATATACGGAGTATAAAACAAGTTATCAATCAACATCAATAAAACCTCAACCCGTATCAGCAAAAAAACAAGTCGAAGAGACTGAAAGTTACAAACAGACAGAGAGAAAAAACGAATAAAGCCAAGTAAAACGAAATGCGTTTTAGGAAAAAGGAAATGGTGGTTCGTGATTCGCCACTAACGAGCTAAAAGACAAAGAAGAAGAAGACAGATGAAGGAGAAGAAGGTCGCACCTTCGCTATCCGCGAATGGAAATTGCAGCACGAACAGCTAGCTGTGCTGAGCTCTGTTTTTTAGTGCGATTTTTACCGGCAATGAGTTCCGGAAGGAGAGAGGGGAAAAGCAACGGTCAAAAAGTAAACGATGGCAAAATGAAAGGGGCCAATCGCAATATAAAGGGGCTTCAGGGTGGGGTTATGGTCGCAGTTTGGCTCTTGACACTAATGTTCTTCTTATTTACAGAATCTTATTATGTCGCATTCTGACGTGGGTCTAATTTTTTTATCTCAAAATTTCAGGTGCAACCGTGCAACTTGCAAGACCTATATCTTTTTATATTTATTTTAATTTTCAATTTTATACAAGTATATCACTATTAATATTGATAATCCTATACGATAATTATTTTGTTTTAACATAGAGAAATTGGTACGTAGAGAAAAATGAAAAAAGAAAGGTATAAAAATAAATTGCAGACAACGTCTATGACAATGTCCACATATGAACTTTACATAAGAATCGAAGAACAAAAGTGGATGTGAATAAGTTCTCACTTTGATTTACACACAGACAAACAAAATTATGTAAGATAATATTTTATTTTGGAAATTGAAATACTTCATTGGTCCCGTAAAATTTTGATTAAACTTAGCTTGCACGTGAAATAATAAATTAGATATTGTGTGATTGAGATTTATATATAAGAGAGAAAAGTAACTTTAATAACATATTCAATTAGGAAATGATTTTTTTGGAGTATCTAAATAAGGCAAAATCACTATTAACCCTATGAGGTTATGTATTTTCATAATTATTAAAACAACCTTACATTTTCAAAAACCAATTAGTTACATTTTCAACCTTACAGTAACACATTAATATTTGTTAAATAAAATTTAATATAACTCTTAAATTCAATGAAAGTTGTCTATAAAATTCATTTTTAAAGTAAAACACAAATTATTAACATAATTGTTAGTCATTGTTGTTGATCATTGTTTTTCTACTTAGATAGTCCATCGTGAAATAAATATTATTGAGAGTTATTAAAGGAAATCGTCACGAGTAAGATATAAAGTTTCATGAATTTTAATAATTTTATTTAATCTTATAAAACTAATAAACTGTTTACTGCAAGTCTGTAAGAAAACCTTTTGTTAAGATAAAATCATCACAAATTGGTAACAGAGTTGATAAAAATTTTAAATAAATCAAATTATAAGATATTTTAGGTATTAGATTGATAACTTTCGATTATTCAGATTCTATATCGCAACATTCTATCTTTTCGGTCCCTTATTGATACTAGACCTATCTTCTATCTAAGTCATGGAATGATAAAATCCATTGTTTTAGTATTTCTTTTTTGCTACACACGAAAGAAATGACATTGAGATTAATTGCCATATGAATTACAAATTAGTTTTTATATGGGGTTTTTTCCTTAAATATTACTAATAAAAATGTTATGGACAAAAATGTGAGTTAGTAACTATTAGTAACTATAATTGTGTTGAAAGTTTACATCATAGTAACTTACTTTTAGTCACTACGATGTAAATTTTGAACACAATTGTAGTCACTAATAGTTACTAAGTAATATTTTGTCCATCACATTTTAAAGAGTTATATTTTTGGAATTATTTCTTTTTATATTCATGATTAAGAAGTGCCTAAATTTTGATAACTCATTTTTTAAACATCTTTCTTTGATTTATCCCATAAATATTACTCGTGAGTCTTTTCCTTAACTACTCTCATTTATAGTTATTCTATGATCGAGTAGCTTAGTAACAAAATAACGATCAACAATAAATACTTATAATTATGATAATAAATTGTATTATGCTTTAGAAAATATTTTTATTAACAATTTAAATGAATTTAAGAGATATTAAATTTAATTTAACAAATATTAACGTGAAGGGGCATATAGTGAAAATGATCAAAACTCAGAGGATATCTAATTTATTTTTTAAAATGTAAGATTGCAATAATAATTATGACATAAGCTCAAGGAGTTAATAGTAATATTTTCTTATTATCCCACTAAATAATGTAAGTTGATAAAGTTTTATTGGACATATCGAAAGGAGTACTTTGTCTACCAAGCAAAAAGTGGTCAAAAAGTCATATTAGATGTGGCACCCTACACTAACATTTCTTATTGTTATGAATTAAACTCACGCACGCAAAAAACAGTAATGAAGAACACGCAAAATTTGGTAACCCAGTTCGTTACGAATGATTACGTCTGGGGGCGCTACCAAGCCAGAAATGTTATTAATATTTTCAGATCAAGGTATTACAAGGGATATCGGTTATATTTATAGAGTAAAACATAACCCCTAATTAAATTAGGACGCGTGGCCCACATCCGTACGGCCCAATCTGTACGGAAAACTTGTTTGCAAAAAACGGACCAAAAATTTCGACGAATAGGGCTTGGTTATACGTACAGTCTCTTACACCTTACACTTATTAATATATTTGTTTATAGAATAGATTATAACTCCATTTTAAGATATACGTACTACGTATATTCTTATAAGTTTTATACGAAGTATATGTTAAAAAGGATTAATACTTCGTATAAGCTTTTGTTATACACCTATGTGTACACTTTATAATTTTACATAGTCCGTATGTGATTTCCCGTAATCTTATTATCTAGAGAAAATTCCCCACTTATGACTAAAAGAGAACGTCTTTCCCCATCTATGACTACATCAAGTTTTATTCTTATTGTATGACTCACATGCCTCATGCCCATACACGTGTTTTTTTTTTATCTCACAAGTGCCCTCTTGTGATTTAATTAATGAGCTTTATTTCATCCTACAAAAACGGCCGGCCAAGCTATTGATAATTAAATGTGCACGTCTTAAAACGGCCGGCCAAGCTATTGATAATTAAATGTGCACGTCTTAGAGGGATAACCGTTTATTGACATAACCGGTTGTATACGTCTTCTATTAATTATTATTATTATTATTATTATTATTATTATTATTATTATTATTATTATTATTATTATTATTATTATTATTATTATACTTTCCAGGTCTACTTTTATTCCTTAACAATTCTCCACTTTATTAGTATCTTCTGTTATTGCCCTTTCACTATTGTCTTCTATTACTGCCCTTTGATTAACTTATGTCTCCTATTATTGCCCTTTCATTATTATCTTCTATTACTCCCATTTGATTACTATACGTCTCCTATTACTGCTATTTCATTACGTCTCATATTACTGCCATTTCATTACTGTATATATTATTATTGCCCTTTCATTATTGTACATCTTCAATTACTCCCCTTTTTCATTACTGTACATATTCAATTACTGCCCTTTTATTATTGTCTTCAACTACTGCCTATAGTAGGTGAAGTTCTACCATAATCAGGGGCCGATGGTGTAGTGTTCAAGGGTATGCACTTGAACACCCAAAAATTTCAAAAACTTTCAATAAAAAAATTTGAATTTTTTTTAAATAATGATCCACAATAAAGTATAATATGTAACTGAGTATGTATTGAGCAAAGTTCTTGAGTAGCGTAGTTGGATGGCTTGTGTCTTTACATATAGGATAGTCGTGGGATCGATTCCCAAGGATGTGGGGATTTTTGTTTTTGAGAATGTTTCTTCTTTCCCATTGGGCTTATGGGGCTCAAGTATTCGGCAAGTTCCAATGGGCTTTCAGATATTGAGTTCAAGTTTTATATATTAAATTTAGTTGGTTTCTTTCGGTTTTGGATAAGCCGAACATTTCGGGTAAACCGAACCGAAAAATCGGGTACCAAAAATCGGTACCCGTTTTTATAATAACGGTTTGGTTTTGGTTGTCGTATATATTGGTGAATCGAAATATCGGGTCGGTTCGGGGATATACTGAATTGGTTCGGGACCCAAGCCGAACCCAGCCCTAGTTTTTTTATTGATAAAAATACAATTGTTGAATTATAGCATTAGATATGATTATTGTGATACTTTTAATTTTACTTTAGTTTCGAACACCCTAAATGTAAAGTCTAGATCCGCCACTGACCATAATTAGTCTACAACAATAATTTATCTGAAATCCTACTTGATAATATTGTTTAATTTTCGTTATATTAGATTTAATAACTTTTCATTGTATTTACAATTGTATCAATATTGTATATAAAAATTTAAAAAAAAAACATTTTTTCTAAATCATATGCAATATATATATCATATGAAAGATCAAGAAAATAAGAAAAATTGATAAATATTTTTAAAAAATGGATAAAAATGAAAATGGTTCAAGTAAAACTTCCTTTTTGTAAATATCATTTCATCCGATCGCATAGGGCAACAGACAATATGCTCCTAAAAAACGCTGGAAGTTAATGCATTCAAGATGGCTCCTAAAAAACGTTCGTTTCCATTTGTAGTGTATTGGTTTTGCAGGCATTCTTATTTAGGGCATTTACGGAATTATACTGCCGGTGTCATGTGGCGCATGATGCCATGCCGTATTTATTGGTCATATTTCGCATGTTTTACTTTTTTTAATCATATTTTGGGAGTGTCGTTATGTTTTAGTCATATATACGAATTTTTCCCTCTTATCTATGGAAGACATGGGGCGGAGATAAGACAAATGTTGGAGATAAATTACATAGAGAGAAATTAAATTACTCAAATAAAATTAAAATTTATTCATATTTTTGAAGAAAAAGGAAAACCGGTCCTCACAATCTAATCTATGAATGTAAATATAGAAAATTGTTAGGACACGATCGTTTTATCCCGATTTATAATTTGCCATTTTAGAACGTTGCGGCTTCAGTTATGGATGAACATTATAGTGTTTTTAACACACTCCCATTAATCAGTTCGTATACCGTGGTATCACCCCACGGTGAGCACCGTGCTCCCACACCCAAAACGGCGTAGTTTTGCACAATTTTTTTAAAAAATTCGTGTGAACAGTAACGCGTGAACAGTAACGCGTGAACTGTAACGCGTGAACAGTAACTGTTTTTTTTTTTCAGTAACATGAACGATGTAACTCGCGTGTAAATTAATGTAACTCATGTTATTGATCGATGTAACTCAAGTCCAGTCGAAATGTAACTTGTCAAATACATAGTATAAGAAATAAAAACATTGATTTTAACGTTAACAATGAAAAAAAGAGTCTAATTGCTCATTACTTTACATAAATAGTGAATATTTTTGTTTTTAATATCAAAGACGTAAAGATTATTTGAAAGAAAAATTGTTTCAGTAGCAGAGATTATCTATGATGTAACTCGTGTTAGGCTAAATGTAACTTGTGTTGATAGAAAATGTAACTTACATGTATGCAAAATGTAACTTACACTGATAT